CCCTGCTCTGCTCCAACCTCAGTATACTCTCACTTTGAACGACTTTCCAAGAAAAGGAGCCAATGCTTTCTCCCTCTAGGGAGAATGGAACCTGGCCCTCACCTACAGGGATTGTCCACAGCAGTCTTGATGTATGCCTTAGTTCTCGCTATCCAAGAGGCTGAGACTGGAAGGTGACTTCAGCCAAGAGTTTAAGAGTAGCCTGAGCAACATATTGAGGCAGCTCAACAAACAAAAACAAATACAAACTGCCAGAGAGTCTCCACACCCTGTTGAAACCTTCCAGCAGTTTCTGAGCTATGGCCTCAGAAGAGCTACAGACCATGGAAGGGTGTCTTATATGCTGGTGTCTTTAATATGATAATGTCCACACATCTCCTGAAGCAGGAATTGATGTTTTATTAATGATGTTTACTATAAATTTAATTTCAAAGCACTGCTGTTCCCACATTGTTTTGATAAAGGCTTTGTGGTTTATTTATTTTTCTCTTGGTGGTAAAAATGAGAAAGGGAGAGGATGAGACACAGCTTAAAGCTAGAGCATGGGACTTGCTGCTGTAGATGGAGGTCATTCTCATCGTGCAGTTCAAAGGGGCTGAGGGAACACCTGAGAAAGGTTCCCTCTGAGTTGCTCCTTGGCTGTATCATGACGGTTTGTAAACAAAGGCTCCCCCTGCCAGCACTATGGGACAGCCTGGGAATAGTAATCACTGACTGAAGGATATAGTTACCTTTCCTAGAATTTGACAATTAACCTAAAATTTTTCTTTCAGGATAAAGATAACTTCGCCCATACCCAGCAGGAAGCAATTTTAAGAATACGACGCCCACATTCCCAAAGAGGTGGTGTGGGGCGGGTGGTTTTTTGGTCTGGGATAATTTTCATTGTTTAGGGTGGTTGGTTACAAGTTGTTGTCAAGGGTTAGGAAAAAGGCTAAGCAAAGGAGATTAGATTTAAGGTTCTTGTTTAAAAAAAAGAGAAAGAAAGAAAAGAAAAGAAAAAGACAATTACTAGTTTTAAATACTTTACATTGGATTGGATTGTTTTATATTGTATACAAATTATATATATATTGAAATTGATATTGTTAGAAAATGCTATATGTATATTTCTAATTGTACTTATACCGTTCATTTAACAATGCAATTTTCTGATCCTTGAATGTTATTATTACCAACTATTAGGATATAAAGAAATGAAAGTTAGTAGTTAGACATTACAATAGAACTTGTAGTCATATTAGATATGTTTTAAAAATTGAGCAGATATATTTTAGACAAGTCATCTTCAAACCCTTCAGAGATCTATAGAATATGGCATTTAAAATGTTTTAATAACTTAGAAAATTTTTCTTTTTTTGTTATGACTATGAGACATGTCGGCTCCTGGCAGTACCAATCTACTTCAGAGAAAATATGGGCATTGAAGAAACTGCATATGGAGTTAACTTTCATTGTGGCAAAAGTTAGCCACTGGACAACAAAGTATCCTCGAATCAACTGCTGACAAAATGGACAGACAGGACATGAAACAAAGGACTACTGATTCTTGCCAAAACAAGTGTGGTTATGGCTTTATCAAAAGGTATCTTCTGAGGCCAGGACAATATGGCACCATCCCTGAAGTGGCCTTCGCAATTCGGAAAAGGTACAGTGCCCTTTTCTTCGAAGGCAGCTGAACAGGCAGTGGGCCGATGGCTTCTGATGTGCTATGGAACAGCAGCTGAAACAGTTATTCTTGAAGAGTAACTAAGCTCAAGCCTCTCAATAGTAGACTGGCATTTGATAGAGGGATGTGGAGAAGAACGGGATGCTGAGATGAAGCCATATATACACAGCCAAGAAGAATGGACAGCTGAATTAAAAAACCATCAACAATTTCCAGAATTTAAAATCCTGAATCATGACATGACACTAGTGGAATTCAGGTGTTTCTGGTACATGGACTGCTCTCACCCAATGTGAGGTTGAACTGTTGACCTTGTGTGCATCCTACTTCACAGATGAGTCTGTCAGATACACTAAGCCTATAGGCTGAAGATGATGCCCCAACACTGCAGAGAAACCTCAGGTGACTGTCCAGGCAGCTGGCTGTTTCTGTCAACTCACAAATTTTTTGGAAGTTGCTTGCAAGCACTTCCTGTTTTTATTTTTGTTAGCTAATATTATTTTCTTCTTGGGTCCCTGAGGGAGTTGAAGATTAGTTAGTTATAGTTGAAGATTAGTTAGTTATAGTTGAAGGTTAGTTAGTTATAGTTGAAGGTTAGTTAGGATAGAAAGTGAATTAGGTACATTTTGGACTTACCAAAATAGGATAGATAATGGAATTATTTTCTCTGAATTTGTCAAATAAAAATGGACTAGACATTGCTTCGGTATTTATTACTTGTATATATTGTATATAGTTATTGTACTTTTGTATATAGTTTTTCTTTTGTTAGTTATAACCTTTTTCTTTTTTTCTTTTTATTAAAATAGAAAAGGGGAAATATGGTGGTATTTTATTTGTACTGAAATGTGATTTTAATTGTATGTTAATAAATAAAGTTGCCCGGGGGTCAGAGCTATTAGAGCCATAGCAAGAGCATGGCAGTAGTGGCGTACACCTTTAATCCCAGCACTTGGTAGACAGAGCTAGGTAGATCTCTGTGTGTTCAGGGATACAGCCAGCATTGGAGACACACGCCTTTAATCTCAATACCAACCATAGAAGACCTGGAAGTCTCTACAGACAGGCAGTGATGAGGCAGTCATGTGTTTGGGTTTATAACCAATGAGAAGGCAGAACAGCTAGACTATATAAAGACATACACATAGGAAGTAGGTCCCTTTTGGAGAGCTCTCTTGGCTGAAGAGGATCGCTGAAGCAGGAAGGGTGAGGCTCTTAGCTCTGACCTCTTGGCTTTCTTCTCTGAATCGGCTCTGTGTTTCTTATTTACTAAGATGGTTGGTTACATCTACAACTGACCACTCCCTGACCACCACCCTGCTTCTTCTGTCAGGACCCAGGTATACTGCCAGTCCTTTAGGATACTCAATATACTTTCTACAACCAGGAAGTGGTTGGTGAGAGCATGGAGATGTGTCCCACAGCACCTGGTTGGCTGAGTTCTTTGTACCAGAGGAGGCTTTCTGGTCAGGATTTTTTTTCCCTGTGACTTGTTGCAAATGTAATAGCTATGCTTATTGAAAGCCTATTGCTGGGTTTTCAATATCTCTTTAATATTCACAATAAACTGCAAGGTAGTATTAACATCAGTTCATTCTCTAAGTGAGAAAACCAATGCACTAAGAGATTAAAGAGGGTGCCCCAGGCATACTGGCCTGGAGAGTCTACCTTCTCAAAGAGTCCTATTCTCCCTGTTAGAGATGGGGGCTCTGCATGTTTGAAAAAAATGGAACCAGATCTAGGGCAAGCTGCAGATCTCTCCCCTGGTCTGGAACATCTGTGACACTTAACCCACCCTGGAGAGCTCTCCTTGGACCTTCCCAGAAGTTGTAACATAGCTTCTTCTACTTTCCTGGCCTATTTGCCATCCCTACCCAAACTCTCCTTAATCACTTGTACACAAATCTACATTGAGTCAGATTCTAGAGAAATTAATAGGGCCAGAAATTAGCCAGGTCAAGGAGAAAACCAAAGTTCAACACAGAGTAAGTGTTTCTTAGGTATGTCTTAGAAATCACAAATTCTATCCTACATTGGATAGCTACTGTGGGGAGTTACATCCAGATTGTACTGGAATCCTGGGATGAAACAACCAAGAAATTTGAGGCAAAGAAAACTTACAGAGAAAGTAAAATTTAAGTAAAGCCTTGGAATAGCAATAGAGGAATATGTCCTGCAGACATGAAGGGACATATCAGTCTAAACAGAAGGAATAGCACTGACAAGGACAGATATAGGAAGGTAGTTAGATATTCTATTTAAAAAAAAAAACGCTCCACACTCTAGTGCTCTCAAGGTAGAAGACACATTCAAAGAAGCAGTGCACAAATCTGTAGAGCCTTTTAGGGTGGGGAAGGGGGATAGGGGATGTGGGCTAAGGCAGGGGTGGGGGGAGGTGTGATGGGTGGATGAGATGGAGTGGGTGGGAGGTGTAGAGGGGTTGGAGGAGGAGCGGGGAGGTGTGGTGGGAGGAGAAATTCCTAGGTTGATTTTCTAGTCTCTTGAGCTCCCAGATGTAGCTCATTGAAAGGAGGAACACAGGAAGATAAGTCAGCCTAGAAGAGAACATTAGTTCGTTTTGCAATACATGGTATTTGAGATGCCTGTGGGACATCCAGGTGGATAACCAGCTTTGAGCTCATTCAATGTGCATGTTAAGCCTTAAGCTATTCTACGTGGGTTTTTTTTCCCTTTAATTTGTGCAGAATCAAGTTGTTTAGTTTTCAATCTCAACAGTTTTAAACAATAAGATAAATACCCTTTCCAGGAGGCATCTGAAGAGTTAAGTCTTGGGGAGAAAGAGTGACAGAACATGAGGGGAGAATGGGGGGGCAGGAGCACATACTTATGGGAGAGCTGTCACTGCTCATGGCATCATAACCACTCTGGAATTACACTCTGCACAGTCTACAGGCCCTTCTATGGAGACATTGAGAACAGTGGGAAAATTAAAGACAGAGGATGGGATGAATCAGTAAACAGCTTCCTGTGTAAGACTAAGGACCTGAGTTCAGATTCCCAACATCCAAATAAAAACTGTGTATGGCAGAGCATGCCTGTATTCTCAGTGTTGTGAACACCAAGGTAGGAAGATCTTTGAGGCTTGATGACTAGTCAGTTTATCCAAATCTGTGAGCCCCAAATCCCAGAGACAGACCATGTCTCAAAAAGTCAGATAGAAAAAAATAATAAAGAAGACACTTGCAGCACTGACTTCTAACCTCCATATGAATGTACACACACACACACACACACTCCTCACCACTTACTGGCATGACTCCTGAGCTTACTTCACCTTCTCTATTCCCATGAACTGGCCTCCCTCACTCACCATCCTCCTCGGTCTGGACCACCAACTCCTCACTCTCCATCCGGCCCTCGGGATTGGACAGCAGCAGCCGTAGTCTGATGGTCATGAAGGGTCGTAGACCCCGCAGGGTATAGTGGGAAGAAGTCTGGATCACCTCCTCAGCCTCATACTGCTGCTGGTTGAACACGTACTGGTACTGTACCGTGAGGTTGTAGCTGTGGCAGCGGGTCACTGCGTAGCCAAAGGGTTCCCACTGCAGCGTCAGCTGCCTGGCCCGAATGTCCACAATCTCCACATTCTGAGGGCCGTGCACAGGATCTGGAAAATACACACAAGACACAAGAGTTTTGAGGAGACTACAGGAAGCGGGTAGATGTTGTTGCTCTTCCGTATGCATCCCATCTCCACATGGTCTCCTGTGACTTTTGCCACCTACAGCATAATTTACATGAAATTTTTCTTTAAATCAATTTCTTTTTTTTTGTAAATTTAAGCACACATATCTAAGACAAAACAAAAATAAATATGGTGAAATTTTTCCTATTCCCCTCACAATGAAATGTGCCAGCCACAAAAATATAAAATTAGGGCTTCATCAGAGTTCCACTGAGAACTGTTGGGTGCTCCCAAGTGCACACATTTCTGTGATGTGCTGATTCAGATGACTGCTGGAGTTCTGCACTGCCTTCTGTGTTTAACTCAGCTACAGGCTCTCTCCATGGAGCTGAGGCTCCCCCCTGCTTTCTCCCATGCAGATGCAAAATTTGGAGTGGTTCCATCACAGACAGACATTCAGCCTCCAATCCATTTGCATGACCACAATGCCGCATGAACTTGGCCTTTGAATTCCCCTTCTCACTCTCACTTATAATAGGACATATCACTTGCTAGCATCCTGCAACACTTCACTCTTCTTTCTGTCCTCTCCCCTTCTTGCACATCATTCTACCAGTCTGCAGCACCCCAAAACTGTTCCTCACCTCCCTTTGCACACTGATCTTTGTCCCAGGTCCCCATATATAAGAATGACCATGTCTTACTTCATAATCTGTACATTGATCACTATACCTTACATGAGGTAAATAGATGATTTTTGTGCAAAACTAATAAAAACAAACAAGAATAGTGAAGATAGGGATCTGATCAGCATTTAACACCATAATACTTATAGGACATTATCAAGTTATGCCATGTCTTTGAGTGTATGTTTTACTTCATTTGCAAATTTGTGATAATAGAATCTAACCCCCACTGGAGGAGAGGGAGGATCCATATGAAATATCCTGAGCCATTAGAGTTACACCTGGAATTAATAAGCACACCATATAAAATAGCTGGGGGTTTGTTTTATAGCAATAGGAAGAGTAATAAGAATAATAATCCTCTTTCATATGCTATACACCACCTGAGTGTCTTATAAATGGCAGTTCTGGGTAGGACCATTATGCAGTGCAATAGACTAGGCTATGGTCACCTTTCCAGTCCTCAAGTCCCCAGAGCTTTTAGAGTATAGCTGCCCTTGCACCAAGGCACAGACAAGAACGGCTATGGGTGGGAGCTCTGGATGCCGACTGAGTTCCCTAATTTACCTCTATGGGAGAAGTGTAGCTTATAACAGAGCTTTGCCAAGGCATACACTTCCCAAGTGTGTCAGACCGGAGGCCGAGCCATCCCATAGCTGTGCATATTGCTTAAATCAGTAGCTCTGGCCTCTCCTCAGCTGAGGAATTCACACTTATTCTTCAGCCCAGTTATCCATGCTGCAGGATACTTTGTACAAAAGAGATCCAGGATCCCAAAAGTAAACGAGTGACTTGATCAAAGTGACATCAGACAAGTTACTCAGAGTTCAGTATGCTGAACCTATATGGAATGAAAGACAAAGCATGTGGGACTCACAGTCAGGGGTTGTGACCAGGCATGGCTATGACTGCTTGGCTGGGTGTCTTCGGGTGGTTCAGGTTGCAGTGACTGCAGATACACAGGCATAGCAATGGAGGGAACCTTCTGCCTGAGAAATGTTAGCATCCTCTGCAGCTTTTGTCCAGCAGGAATTTTTCAATCTGTATAGCTTCCCAAACTCTGCTGGTATATATCCCCAAGTAATACCTTCCTAACACTCCTCCTCTGGGAACTTCTTCAAAACCAACACTACACCCCAGGAAGATAGTCACCTCATGGGGCCCTCTACTCCCTCGTTAGGAAGTGAGAGCAGAGATATTTAATACTTGGTTAAGGCTAAGGACATAGTTTCATTAACTATCTTAAATACTACAATATTCTATGTCAAATACAATTTTTGAGATGTCCAGTACGGCCTAAAAGTACAAATAAAATACCATCAATGGAAGAGCTTCCAGGAAGTGCTTGTTCTATTTCCTGAATCATGATGCTAGAAGGGAGGGATTGCCAATTCACTTGACAAATGAATAAATCAAGACTTGGAGAGGTCCTGGAACTTGGATCAAGTAACAAGTCGAGCAAGGGGCAAAATGAGGCTTTGAATTTGTAACTGTCTAACCCCATGTCTAGTATGCAAGAGATGGGAAAAGTGGACCAGAACACCCCAGCCATGGGAGAGGTACGTGCTGGGCTTGATACACCTCACAACAACTGTTAAGAGATGGGAAAAGTGGACCAGAACCCCACAGCCATGGGAGAGATACGTGCTGGGCTTGATACACCTCACAACAACTGTTCAGGACGCATCAGAAGACCTACTCCAGAGAAAACCAAAGTTCTGAGAAATGAAAAGATTGTCCTCAGGCCACACAGTAAGAGGCAGGGTTGAGATTTATAGTCTCAGAAAGTCTTAAACCTTTGATTTTTCTCTACTGTGACACCATTGGAGATAGGTCAGAATAGGAGCATAAACATGAGGCAGCCACAGCTGTTGGGAATTTGGGAGAGACCTAGAAGAATGCTAGGGAAAAACAAAAACTGTAACACAGAAATTGCTTTGCCCTTAAGAACCTGGGACCTGTCACCAGAAGGGACCGTGCTGGAACTTAATGCTAAGCTGTACATTGGCCTATCTTCAAGCCCCACTCTCTCTTTTTTCTGCAACCCAACTGTGCAGACATACATATAAACACCTTCACGACTTTCTTATAGATAGTCTTATCCTGAGGCCTTTCCCCTAATCACAGGGGGCGAGGGAAGTTGGAAGCCTGTTACCCAGCAAAGAGCTTCCCTCCAGTGTAGGAATATTGGGGCACAGACATAGATCCTGTGTCTCCTAAGCACACATGATAGAGTTGGAGCATGGCTGGAAGCCAGACTCTGGCACTCAGTAGCTAAGTGACCTTGGCCAAGGGCACTTCATCTCTGTGCCTCCATCTCCTCATCTATAAAGTGGAAATTACTGCACTAATCTCAGAGGGCTGTTAATGAGCATAAAATGAACTGTAAAGAGAGAAAATTGCCTTTCCCTAACAGTGGGGATTCCCCTTACACAGAACTGCCTTTCGTGGAGAAATGCCCTAAGAAGCCTTTAAAAGTTTTTGTCTTTATTCTTGAGAATTTCATACATGTATAAAGTAAAATATCATATCAATTCTCATTTTCCTTCCAACTTGCCCCATGTTCCTCAAACCCCTTCCAAATCATATCTTTTTTTATTATTGTTTATAACCCACTAAGTTCAGTCATTGCTACCTATATGTACAGGAGTGTTTTAAGAGTAGGAGCTTAGATCCCAGGGCCTTGCTTACAACCCTACTAAGCCTCCACAGGAAGACAAACACCAAGGTCTTGATGGGTGGATAAGTTAAGAGAGGTAGGGAAGTAATTAAATAGTAGAATGTTGGGAGAATCCACAAATATGACAGCTCCCCATGTGACTCCTCAACCTCCAACATGGTCTTCAGATATCACAAAAATATTTACTATGACTGGACTCCAGACAGAGCTGAGACATGTATGCACACTTCAGTCAAATAGGACTCTCCACAGATCACCAGGAAAATGGGACTCAAAACACACCCGTACACTCCAGAGACCTTGGGAGATGATTTTGGAGGTTCCCCTAGCCTATGGAAATTAAAAGGTTCAGAGAAATTTTAGTTCAAATACAGTAAGTTCGGACTCTAGTGGCCCTCTGGGTAAGATACATGCAGCTGAAAGTGTCTTGTGACTGTGGTAATTTACATTCTAGAAAGCAGAGGTAGTGGCTATGAGGCAGGAGCTCTGGGCTAGGTAGTGCTTTAACACCTGCCTTTGGGAAACAACTCCATATTATACGTCACTGAGGCTCCATGAATGGAATGTAGCCATATCTCCATGCACCACTGTCCATCATACTTAGCATTTGTCACACTGCCCAGGAATTGCTTGTTTATACATTTGTCTCCCAGATTGCCAGCGACTATTTTCTGTTTGTCTAGCATCTCTAGGATCTGTCAAGCAGACTTCCTATGAGATGACCAGATGGCAGTTTGTTCTAGGAAACTGAGTTCCCATCACTTGTTTCCACCCTCCCTCCTCTGTTCAGGCCAGTACATCAGCAGGATCTCTGAGGCACACATTTCTTTTCTGCTTTGTTTTCAACCAAGAAGATGTCCTGAAATCCTACATAAGAGAAAGTAGTTTTCAGAATGTGTGATGGGAACACTCACGCTTTCAGTGTGATGACCCCCACCTCCCAACAAGCCTCACCTGCCAAACTGAGATTCTGCTCCAGTAATTGCCTTCCGTGGACAAAGTCCTGGGTTTACATTTGGGTTGGTGCAAACAAGTTGAAAATTGCTGAGAAAGTCTTGTGTGTGCAGTAGAGATTGGTTTGTTGAATTTATATCCCCCGTGTAAATACATCCAACCCTACAGCCTCTGGTCTCTGCTTCCAGATAAGGTCCTGTCCATGTGACCTTCTTCAGTAACGACAGACAAGAAGACAGCAGACAGAGCACAGAGCTGCTGGCTTGACTGAGCCGCTGTAAGTTAGTCTATCCTGGAAAATCAAAGTGGCTCTCATCCTAACACCTTTGCAGTGAGGCCATGGGCCTTGTTCTGAGCCCCATAGTGAACCTTGTCAGACTGACTTTTTCCCAGGACAAGGGCTCAGCAGCCAGTGCACTGTGTCCACCTGTCCCCTGACCTCCATTCTGACCATGCTTCAAACTCTAGAATATCCTGTCCCCATAGCTCCAAAGTCATTGCAGGGCCTGAGACCTACTTTCCTTGGTTGCCCCTTCTTGTGAGCACTGCTGGGACAAAGAATGGCTGAGAAGAGGAGCAGAGAGAACTTGAGTTCTCCACACATATTTGCACAAGTCCTTTAGGTTAGAAACAGAGTTGGGTCAAAGGAGAATGGAAACAGG